TATATATATATATTATTAATACAGTTGTTATACCTCTTCTGTTTTCAAATATATTAACAAATGAACAGCAACTGAAGTTAAAGATACAGTATACAGGCACTACCTACATAAGTTATAAAACAAATACTAAGTTAAAATTTGTGAGCATTAAAACAGTTTTGACATGGCTTTGTTGCAGATATACAGAGCACGGACACCCCCACTATATATGTATGTATGTGTGTGTGTGAGTTCTGTATATTCTTGTTGTTGTTTTTTGGAAACTTCCTATCATGATGTGAAACACTTTTCCTAGAAATGTGACACGTGGCAATGTATAATTCTGGGCTGGTAGTGAGGTAAATATGCACATTTTACGTGAAACATTTAAAATAATTTAATGAAACAGTGCATTGCTTGAATGATAAATCAAACAATAAACAAGGGTATTAAAGTTCCTTCCGAAAAGTAAAAAAAAAAAAAATCGGCAAACCTGGAAGTGAAGACTTTGGAGCAGCTCACAGATTCCCCAATGTCACACATCGCTGTGTATTCTGGGTTCCTTTCCCGAGAAATTTCAACGTGAAGCGCGTACACAGACAGAACCAGACCAATAACGCACAGAAGCACGCGCAGTATTCTCTCCCATCGTGGCATCTTTTGGTTTCCAGTAGTTAACATGTTCTCTCTTTTCTATCTATGTTGGTTTGGTATCCCCTCAGGTTAAACTAACTGGACATTAAGTTGCTTGTAGTGATGTGTCGTTCGCGAGTGATTCGTTCAAAATGAACGAATCTTTCATATGAGTCGTGACTCCCGAGTCATATGAACGATTCGTGACTCGTGACTACCGAGTCATATTAAATATTTATTCATATTGAACTCCCGAATCACTCACTGCGAACAAATCACTCACTGCGAACAAATCACTCTATGCAAACTAATCTTTCACTGTGAACTAATCTATCATTGCAAACGAATTACTCTCTGCAAACTAATCTTTCACTGTGAACTAATCTTTCACTACGATCTAATTACTCTGCAAACTAATCTTTCACTGTGAACTAATCTATCATTGCAAACGAATTACTCTCTGCAAACTAATCTTTCACTGTGAACTAATCTTTCACTACGATCTAATTACTCTGCAAACTAATCTTTCACTACGATCTAATTACTCTGCAAACTAATCTTTCACTGTGAACTAATCTTTCACTACGATCTAATTACTCTGCAAACTAATCTTTCACTGTGCTGTGAACGAATCATTCTCCGTGAACTAATCTTTCGCCGTGAACTAATCTTTTGCTGTGAACGAATCATTCTCTGTGAACTAATCTTTCGCCTCGTTCTCGCAGGTTCGTTTCATTTGTCACGTGAAAGAGCTCGGGTCTTTTTTGCTCTCATTCATCTTCACATTGTGGTGAGTGTTTTTATTTCTTAGCTTTTCACATGGTTTGAATTACTAATGGCATTTTGTGTACTTTATAGACTTTGTCAGCGGAAGCAAAGCATGTTGCCTTATTTAGTGTCATATTTACAACGCCCACAATAGGGCTAAAGCGCCACCTGCTGTAAAACGAATGAAATGATTAGTTCACGATTCGTTCACGACTCATTCATTTTACTGTTCGAGAGTCAAAGATTCGAATCAATAAAAAGAGTCGGTCTTCCCATCACTAGTTGCTTGTGTTGCAAGATCTCGCGAGAGAAACAACCAGGTCCACAAAACCAAAAACCACCCATGCACACCTACGTGAAGCACTCCGCCCCTCCCTCTATCATCATATTAAAGCTTTGATGTAATTAAAAAATACATTTTCTGACATATGACGTCACACAGCTTACCCTCCGCGTCCAAATCTCTCCAAGCTGGTCTCTGTCGTTAGTACGGCATTTGTACTGTTCAAATAAATATTTGTGCTTTTATGGTTTTTACAGCTTATTTTTTCACACGCGTGAGTTCACCAGCCACCCGTCAACGTCCAAATCTCTTCAAACTAGTCTATATAGTTTGTGCTGGTTTGAGCATTATTTCCTACATACAGTATATATTATATACTGTATATATTATTTAGAATTTCGAATCCCGGTTAGGGCAGTTGGTACCTTCCAGTGGACTCACCACCTGCAGGAAGGTCCAGGGGGGTTGGTACGGTGCAATGTGATTTGGGTGGCGACTGCTGCCCCCGCGACCCGGTAACGGATAAGCGGATGAAAATGGATGGGATGGATATATTACAAACTGTTTATAGGGAATAATCCTCAATCGTGTAAAAGGCTTTATAGAAGTCTAAGAATAAGTTGAATGTCTATGTGCCAACTTTCTGTCTATACAGCCATTCACGACTTAATCCCGCCTTATACAGCGTCATTGTTTCTTATTGGACGTGTTCCCTGACGTACTGTAAATTAATTGGTTTGCCATGTGTGTCTAAAAATAAACGGAAGGAGTACGCGCAGGCGGCAGACAAAAACAGGTATCGCGGCGTTATTATGAGTTTAGCTTTTTAGAAGGAAATGTCACGTATTCTAATGAACTTTTGTTCCGCTGCTTGAGTACTTGCGTATAACGACGTAGCTGAAAGGGACCTGCTTGAGCGTCTTAGGGCTTCAGGTAACCAACTTACGCCCATGTGTCATACAATGTTCTCCTGTCTCACCGTCATGGCGTAACCTCATACACTTTTTCCTTATCTAGTAAAAAAAACGTATAGTGTAACTGAACGATGTATATAGCGTAGACGATTTCATGTTTTAGATGGAACAATATCAGATTAATCTCTGGTTTGAGTCTCACTCATGTGCTCAACAATTAAAGTTGGATTGGTGCAGGCCTGATGAGTGGGACATCACGCCTCATTTTTATCAATTCAAACATAATACTCATGTTAGCTGATGTCAATAGGTAATACCTGGGCACATTGTAGATGGAAAATAACTATACATGGGACACCGCGACACATGAAGCAGTTTCAAGTCAAAAGAGTGTCAAAATGATCAACCTGCATCAAGATTGTTAAAGACATATTTATGTAAATAATGAAGGACTTTTGGCTTGTCCGCCAAAAACTTTTTTTCACCGGATCCTCTTTGACACAACCAACATTTACTCTGTGCTTTTGACAGGAGCATTTAAAAACTTTCATTTAACATTTCTTGTTAATCTAAACTTAAATGACTGTATTAAAAGTGAAAGATAATACCACTACCTTTACCGCTGCCGAAGCATTTCCAAGTTATTTGTTTTGTTATAAAATTACCCCAATACTGTATTTTCATTGTAAAATATTCCCCCATAAACAACATCATCAAGTTAACGTGTCATGTTTGTGATACAAAGTGTTACTAACTCCGTGAGGAAAATAACTCTGCATTGGGGATAAACAACTTTTGGTCTAGTAACTTTGCCCTTTCATACCCATCAGAATGGTCTATGCGTTACAGCAGTCTTAAACCCCAGTTATGCTCCTTTTAGGTGTTAGACAGTGGGTCCACTAGGGGACAGTGCTGAGTTCAAAGTTAGTTTCCGGCCAGACAATAACAAACATGGCGACAGCAGAAGATAACGTTTTAACGTTCCTGCTCAGAAAAAAGGACCAAACAGAGGCAGCAGAGGAGAACGCGGTGGTCTGTTATTTCTGTTGTTATTCCGTAGTGCCGTTCCTTTCTTTGGTTAGGGTATGCATCGGCAAGCTATCCACAAAACGTAACAAATTACACACTCAACGTACACATGGGGTGTAGAACGTGTACTTCGTGTTCCTCATAAAGTTGTATTGAGGCTAACCCAAAACACCAGTAATGAGCACTAGTGTGAGCACCTCACGTCTGTGACCCAGTACTGGTGTCATGAAGCGTCTCAACACAGCAACCAAAAGACGTTAATAGAACCAAAATATTTGCATGGTTCTTATCAACTAAGTACTTTCAATCTGAAGTGAAACACGTACTGTAAATGCCTATCAATCACCTTTAGCAAGACTTTCACAGTGATACATGGTTTTAATGGAGCATACGTGTCAGTGACTCAGCCAGGTTTAAACATGCGTTCAAAGAAATGTGATCGATTTCAATTAATTTTTTAAAATGTATATCATAATTCTTTTGTGATTGAACAGTACGTTTATTGTCTGTACATCTATTTTTAAAGCTCAGGGTTTAGATATCATTAACCATGTGAGTCTCTCACTCACTATCTCACTTTTACTTGTTTAAATTATTTTAGAAGAATGTCTCAGGACTGCACCAAGGGCCAAAACTGTCAGCCTGTGTCTATACTGCCTAAAAGAATGGCTGCAGACAAAAACAGACACACTCAAAGTCAACGCAGAGTGGAGGGTATGGACACCAGCACAACAGCAACAAACCTGGCTTTGCTTAAAGCACACTCACTGGATGTTAAGTTTGATGTCGGAGAAGAGTATGATGTCATTGAAACCATCGGCACCGGAGCTTATGGAGTTGTTTCCTCTGCCAGGAGACGGGACAACGGTAGGGGTGATATGGTCACAGTCATGATAAGTGCTGCTTTTCACTTTTTAATTTATTATTTGTATTTAAAATGGAGTCTGTTATGTATATGTATTATCTTATGTATATGGTATTTTATTTTTAGTCATTAACTTTTTGTACTTTTGGTTATTTTAAGGTAATCTTCAACAGACGTGCAATAAATAAATTGTGATCCCTTGTAGTAACTAATCAGTAACTAATACATTTAAAGAATTGGGATTTCAATATTGACCAAATTAAGCGTGATTATGATTTTATTTTTAGATAATTCAGCAGCCCTGTGCAACAGAATATGCATTTCTTCTGCTGTTAAAATTCCTATTGACACAACATCCCACTGTGCTCATATGTGATTTGCAAGATTCAGTCTTAATTTGACTACGTTTTAACTTGTCATATTTGCCTTTTATAGGTCAGCAGGTGGCCATTAAGAAAATCTCCAATGCTTTTGAAGTTGTGACAAATGCAAAGCGCACTTTGCGAGAACTGAAGATCCTGAAACACTTCAAACATGACAACATTATTGCCATCCAGGACATCCTGCAGCCAAATCTTCCTCACTCCGCCTTCAAGTCTGTGTATGTCATTTTTGTTTTCATCATAAGTTTGAACTCAATTCACAATAGACTGGATAGGTCAAGTAAATTTTAATTGTGCAACTCCATCATGCTAAAGACCTTTTTACTTTAATAGTTGATAAATATTGACATGAAAATACCTCAACCTCTCATCCTGTAAAAACATCAATTGGAAAAATTGGGAGTGTGTGTGTATGCGTGTATATACCGTATTTTTCGGACCATAAGGCTCACTGCATTAAAAGGCGCACTATCAATGAACGAGAATATTTTCATACATAAGGCGCACCGGGTTATAAGGCCCATTAAGCGAAACAATTAAGCGGAACAATCAAGCATGCCTGGATCCTTCTTGTCAATATCCTAGTCAGTGTTATTGCTGTTAATTAGCTGTTCAGTGATGATTCGACATTTGAGACTGATACCTTAGCCCAGTCATCCACGATCCATTGGCAGATAGTGGCGTAATTCGCCCATCGTTGCCTCCCTGTCTTGGTGAATGTGTGTTCACCTTCTGTCATCCAATGCTTCCACGCCGCTCGCAATTTAACTTTGAACGCCCTGTTAACACCAATATTTAGCGGTTGGAATTCTTTGGTTAATCCACCCGGAATGATGGCAAGTCCTGAATTAGTTTGCTTCAGTTGGGTTTTGACAATATCGATGAGATGGGCGCACATGGAGTCGCAGATCAATAGGGACGGAGATTTGTGGAAAAGGGTAATGACCTAAGTTTGACACAGGAGGACGCTGCTGTTGTTGTTGTTCGCCCCTCCAGAGTCAGGAGGTTGTCACTATTTTTGTTCTGGATGGTCACGATATTGTTGTTTTGAGGCTGTTCCGTGCGGAAGTGTGGATATTGTTTTGCAGAGAGAGTGTGTTTTTTTTCCCTGTATCGATAAAAAAAAGAGTTTTTGACCACGAAAAATTCACACTATACATCGCCAATTCAAAAACACAATGTAGAGTCTCCGGGTGTTTGGAGGCACGACCCGACGTTGCACGGATTTGGGTTACACAACCATACTGTAATAATTTTTGTTGACAATCTCCTAATTGTGTTAACAGAGTTAAACTTCACTGTTGGCTCCCAGTGTGCTTCAGCTGTGTGCCATCATGTGTGATGCGCTGTGTGGTTTGGCTTTATAAAATCGGTTTAAGCTCAGTAAGCGCAACCAAAACTAATACATAAGGCTCACAGTGTTATAAGGCGCACTGTTGATTTTTGAGAAAATTACAGGTTTTTAAGTGCGCCTTATGTTGCGGAAAATACGATATATGTATATACACTTAAGCCCAAAATTATTCATATCCCTATCAAATACAAGGGATTCCTTAATTTTTTCATTTACACATTAGTATTTCACCTCAGATTCACAATCACATAAATAGTATGTGCAGGCAAGGTGGTGAAGAAATGGTTCCAGGACAATGATATTAATGTTATGAAGTGGCCAAGTCCTGATTTAAATCCCATCGCGAACCGATGGATGGAGCTCAAGAAATGGGTGACAGCACAAAAACCCTCCAACATCAAATATCTGGAAACATTTGCAAAGGAAGAATGGTCCAGAATTCCTGCCGATACTTGCAATTATAAAAATCATTTGGAGGCTAAAAAAAAAAAAAAAAAAAACGGGGTTTGCAATTGAATAGAGGGTATGACAGAGTATGAATAATTTTGGACAGTGTGATTTTTTGTTTTCACCCTGTTCAAGATGTTTATTTAAACGTTCTATCTTACATACATTAGTTATGGCTTCAGATTTTCTTGTGTGTCCTATATAAGTAAAATCTGAAGTGAAACACTAATATGTAACATTTTAGAAAATGTTACATATTAGTGTTTCACTTCAGATTTTAAACCTAAAAAACACCAGTAAAAATATAGCAAAAAACTAAACTAAAAGACATCACCTTGTAGTTTTGTTTACCTAGAGGTGAACAATGAGCACCTAGACAGCATTGAGCATGCTCTTTTGTTCCTCACACTGATGGACTCATGCATCATAGCATCTCACAGCATCTCCCCTTGTCTGTTAACCACACGTTCACTTTTCTGTGTGCTGTTATCTAGTACATTGCTGTAAAGTTTGTGCTCTTGTGTTTGGTGAAAATTACCCTAATTTAACGCCCTTCAATGCCTCCTAAACGCTGTGCATCTTCTCCACAAAGGCTTCTGTTACAAAGCCCAAATGACGATGCTGACACAAATGACAGTTAACAGCCTTTCTTTTTCTTTCCAATAATATGCGTTTCTGCACTTTGCCTGGCTTTCATATACGGTACATATAAGGAGAGTGAACAGAGGAGTGTTTACTGGCCAAGACAGACGAGTAAACACTTCTCTGTTCACTCTCCTCTCTCCTTGGTCCCAGCTCCTACTAATATAAGGAGAGTCTGATTACTCCAATTGCGCTCACCTACGCCTGCACCTGCGTCACCACTCCCATGCTCACGACCCCTCCCACAATGTGCATGTATATTGACTTTTTAATAAGAATATAATTTACATTGTTTTTCATGGTTGTTTATTTCATTTATTTACGTAATATGGATGACTTATATTTCCATTATACAACTCTACTGTGCATATAATTGTGTGGGAAAGGGTAATGCAGTCTATGAAAGGTTGATAACAGTGTAGGGAGGGGTCGTACAGGGTAAATATATATGTAAGTAATATAACAACTATCTCGCCTCTGCTTTGCAGATTTTTCCTTTTTGGTTGGGTCCTTGAACGCAACTACCGCGATAGGAGAGGAACCATTGTATATACAGTACATACACATATATACATATATGGCTAGATTCTCATGGCTTGTTCAGATGTGATATTTTGTATTTAGATTCTGCTAAATGGCCTGCTACTACAAAACAGCAGTAGAATAAATTACTGGTCGTTGCATCAATGAAGCCACACAAGGAAATTGTGTGGGATTTTTTTTTGTGCTTGTCCACCCACCTCCGCTGTAATCCTCCGTTAAGAAATGTCTTATATTAAAAATTTCCATTGAGGTGTAATTTAAACTTGTGGTTTTTCTACGTTTCAGGTATGTTGTACTGGACCTCATGGAGAGTGACCTGCATCAGATCATACACTCTGCTCAGACCCTCACGTCAGAGCACACGCGCTACTTCTTATACCAGCTACTCCGTGGCCTTAAATATGTGCACTCTGCCAATGTTATCCACCGTGACCTCAAGCCCTCCAATCTGTTAGTCAACGAGAACTGTGAGCTGAAAATTGGAGATTTTGGTATGGCCAGGGGTCTCCGATCAAACTCTGAGGAGTCCCACTCTTTCATGACTGAATATGTGGCCACTCGATGGTACCGTGCTCCTGAGCTGTTGCTGTCTCTTAACCACTATAGCTTGGCTATTGACTTGTGGTCAGTTGGCTGCATCTTTGCTGAAATGTTGGGACGAAAACAGCTTTTTCCTGGGAAGCACTACGTACATCAGCTCCAGCTCATTTTATCTGTGTTGGGAACTCCTCCTGAGAGCATAATAGATGCTATCAGAGCTGACAGAGTGCGTTCCTATGTTCACAGTCTTCCATCACGTTCTGCTGTACCTTTGGCCCAACTCTACCCACAAGCTGAAGCGGAAGCTTTGGACTTGTTGGGGGCTATGTTGCGCTTTGACCCTCGTGAAAGAATCAGTGTGACTCAAGCACTGGAGCATCCTTACTTGGTGAAATATCATGACTCAGATGACGAGCCGATTTGCGTGCCAGCTTTCGATTTTGAATTTGACAACCTTCCTATGAACAAAGAACAAATTAAAGAGGCAATTTTAATGGAGATACATGACTTTCATAAAAACAAAAAAAGTGGTTGTCAGAGGTTGCACTTCAGGCCTTTGACAGGAGGGAAAGGCAGAGCAGCAATAACACAAAGAAGTTCGCAGTGCAAAGCTCAGGACTTTACTGTTAACCTGGAGAAACCCACTCTGGTATCTGTGACACGGTGCTCCCAAGTAGCACAGCATCAACAAACACAAATTAGGGCAGATTTCCAGCAAAAACAACCAGCGCTACCTCAAGGCAGCTTACAAACCTGTAACAAATCTACCCTAGCTAATGTGACTCAAAATTTCCTTCTTCTCTCGAAAAGCGAAAGTGGTCCAACAGATGTTGACATGCCCAGTGCCAACTCGGAGGGCAGTCAACCAGAGACCATAGATTTAATAACGCCAGTGTCCACTCCAGACGCCCCGTCGGAGACGGTGAGAAACAAGGCACAGGCACATGCTCCTTCAATTCAGCCCTCCCAGACCCTGTCAATTACCGAGGCTCCCGCCAATGTTTCCGCAATGCAAGGACCACATATTATGCCACTTCCAACCATTGTGCCCTCCCTGTCTCTTTCTGTGGCACAAGCTCAGTCACTGTCTCAGACCCTTTCACAGTCACTCTCAAGGAAAGCTGGGCTTCCCTCAAGTGCAGTAGAAGGAATCAGAAAAGATGGAGCCATTTCAGAGGATACCAAAGCTGCACTAAGAGCTGCTTTGTTCAAATCTGCTCTTAAGAATAAATGCAGAGGCGGTAAGTTTGTCTTCCATATTCGGGTTTACACATCCCAGTACTAACCTTATTTGCCTTGATGTTAATTTTTAGTATGTCTTTTTGAGTTAGACAGATGACAGATAGCAAGCCAAAGGACAAATACAAATTTTAGACCCTAGAAATGCCTTCCGTGTGATCAATTATTACTTCCAGGCCATCTTGTAAAGAATAAGGATGAGGTCACTGTTTTTAAATTCCTGTCACGTGTTGACAGAAACCGAGTAATAGAAACATCAGGCTAACCAGAGTGTAAATCAATTCTTATGCCCCTACTGGCAGATCACGTGTCTAAAATTGGTCCTTACTGCAAATGATGTTCACAATTCTTCTTGTAACAAAACAATTGTCCCATTAGTGTGCTCTTTCTCCTCTTCAGAGGGAAGTGTTTCAGCACTTGGCATGGTAGCTGGTGGAGAAGGAGGCATATTGTCCTCCCTGCCAAGCATTCCTGATTCTCGCCGGCCGGTCACAGCTCAGGAGCGTCAACGTGAAAGAGAGGAGAAAAGGAGGAAGAGGCAAGAACGTGCAAGAGAAAGGGAGAAGAAAATAAAGGAGAAAGAGAGACGGGAAGTAAAGCAGGGGGACTCCCTGGGTGGGGTCCTACTAAGTGATAATGATAAAAGTCTTTTACAGCGGTGGAAAAAGATGATAGACACCGGCAATGAGAGGAACATCGAATGCAAACTGAACTCACACCCTAGTGTTGCAAGTAGTGGTAGCACTCAAGCAGCTCCGAACAATGTTACAGAGGAGGCGAAGAGAATTCACTCGCATGAGCACTTGGCCTCTAACATAAACTCTAACCAGCCAAGCTTGTTTCAACATCCAACCACCCAGCAGCCACCAATTCAAAACAAAGATGTTGCTGTGGGTGGAGAAACGGATCCAGTGACTGTGATGAGTTTTTCTAAAAACAAAGTGCTCACAACAACACCTCATACTGAGAACAGCAAAGAAAGTGTTTTCAGGAGTTTGGGTAACTGGAGTGGACAGCACTTAGAGGCAAGGCAGCCACATGTGTCAAAGCAGAACAGAAAGCAGCAAACTCTCCCATTAAATATCTTTCAGCCCCAGCTCCAACCTCAAAACCTAAGCCAGTCTGATCCTAACACTCAGACAAATGGAAATGTGGATAATGTTAGGCATGATACCCTCAACCTGACCTTGCCAACAGGGGCCAGGGCTGTGGAGAAGTTGTGTTCTACTGCAGGAGAAAAGGCAATCACACAGACCACTGAACCCCCTTGTGAAACCATAGGAGTCCATTCACAGCCTCATCCCAGGTTAGGATTCACAGATTCTGGGCAACAAGGACCATCCTCCATTACTTCTGACATTCAGACAGTAACACTGCAGCTGTCAAAGTCCCAGGTATGTTTGTATTCTTGTACAAAAAAAGAAACCTCCTGGTGTGTGAGTATACTTAAGAAATATATAATATAGGATTTAAAGGGGTCTATTTAAAGATTTATAGTGGAAAAGTCACCCACCTTAATTCCCAGGGTTTTACTCCACTGTAATCTCCCAGTTGACTGGTTGATTTATTGATTGAGACATTCTGGGTCGACCCAAATTCTGATTGGTTGGTTTTTTATTTTTGTTTTTTTTAGACTGTTTGTGTTAATTTTACTTTAGGAGGAAAGTGCCAAGTGCTAATGGGGTTGTTTTTAAATCACCCAATCGGGGTGATTTGGAAACAACCCCATAGCTTTCACAGGTAACAATCTGTCTTTAGAACACCCCCCCTTGTTTTTACTGTTTTTGGATTAGCCCAACCCATAGACAGACAGATTGAAGAACGTACTAAAAAGCATAGGTCCGGTGGTTTGCTGAATATTTATTTACTACTAATCTACAACATTGTGCCAACATTTTACAAAAATAGAAAACAAAAAAGAAAAAAAAAAGTCGAATGAAAGGTTTGTAAACAACAGCTTGCATATCACAAGTCGACTACAAACATGGCATATCATCTAAAAATGGTAAGCTAACTTGACATGCACAGAGGGAAATGAAGGAAGGAAAGTGAACTACTTGTCATTGTGACACAGCACAACACTGCACACAACGAAATGTGACCTCTGCTTCCAACCCATCACCAAAGCGAACAATGGGCTTCAAGCTTTAAGGGCCCGGGATGCAATGTGGACGGTGCCATGCTCGGAGCACCTCAGTGGTAACTTGGCAGCTAATGGACTCGAACCTGAAGCCTTCTGGACCCAAGTCCTCTTCCCACTTAGTCACCACTGGTGCCTTGGACTGTCAATTATTATAAGATGACAAAAAAACAATTGTCTACATTTTTAAAAAAACATTTCTTAACAGTTCTTGTGATCACTGGTTGACATCTAGTAAATATTAGGGATGTACCAAATATGTATAGATATTATCCACGTCGGGTTTACTTTATCACGTGAAATCAAAACATCCTGAATGCTATGCTGAATATGAGAGGTAAAGCGAGCTTTAGCTGCATACAGCGCAGAAAACAAGCTCCCCGCAGAAAACATTCACTTCACACCTGTCGGCCTCAGCTGCCAAGTTACCACTGAGGTGCTCTGAGCAAGGCACCGTCCCCTCACACTTCTCCCCGGGCGCTTAATGCTGCCCACTGTTCACTTTGGTGATGGGTTAAAAGCAGAGGTCAAATTTCATTGTGCTGTCTAACAATGACAAATAATTCACATTCTTTTTTCTTCTTCTTTCGTTTGAGCAGTTAACTAAAGAAATCAGTTTCTCTGATGCACAGATGCATCTGTACCAGATGTTATTCCTTTAATCGAGCAGTACTGTACTTGATCCATTACTTGTAATAAAGCAGCGCGCATGAGAAATGATCCAGCAGTTGACTTAAATGCACTTTGTCAAGTTTAACATTTTATTTTGAATATTTTATTTCATATTGTGCATTGTTGGAATGTGGTAAATAAATATTTCCATAATTTTGTAATTGTTCTATGTTGCGTGTTATGCAAGTTTGTAATTAATTTCAGTGCAAAACAATTCGGTCAAAAGCGATTTAATATAAAGTAAATAGACCACTAGTCTTTATGTTTATTTATAATTAATTTAGGAGGACAAGCACTGCGCACCCCATGATTATTTCAGATTTTTCAGTCGGAATTTCAGTTGACCAAGACTTTCTCTGGTTGATTACAGCCCTATATTCCACATTTAAATATTGCAATATTGGTTTGTTTTTTTTTACATTTAATTATATGCACAAATCTATGTACAACATGCATCATCAGACGTAATGTGATGTGGATTTGTGGATTAAAGAAAAAGTATACATTGTGTAAGTTAATAATATCATCTGGAACACCAACTGTAGTAGCACTACAACTGGCCCTTAATATCAATTTTATAACAAAATATAATAAAATATATACACTGTTTTTAATGACTTAGCCAACCTTAGCAACACAACTGTCACACAGTCTATTGTAACTTACAGTAAATGTATAAATGCAGATGATGTCTATATGATACATGCACTAAAGTCTTAAATGTCAAAATCAACAGCGCAGTGTGAGCTTTTCTAAGACAAAGAAAAGTTCTTATTTGCCAAAAATCTTTACACCTTTCTCTTGTCAGGTGGAGGACATCTTACCCCCAGTATTCTCTGTGACCCCAAAAGGCAGTGGTGCGGGCTACGGCGTGGGCTTTGACCTTGATGACCTTTTCAACCACTCTATTACAGACCTGCAGCACTGTGACCGAGACAGGTGATGTCTTAAACAAAACATGTTTTTTTTTTTTTCAGACAACAGTAGACAGGTGATGTCTTAAACAAAACATGTTGTTTTTTTTTTTCAAACAGACAACAGCTGTATTTTTACTGGCTCTTTCATATGTCTATGTAATGACAGTACAGGTCGTCAGTCTTAACATGATCTGCCTATAATTACAAAACTTTTATGATTTTAACCTGTTGCTTCTAGTCGTTGTTGCTTGTCAAAGCAAGTCATTTTTGCTGTACTCTCCACCACTAGTTAGAACTGATGAAGCATCTCAGCTTGGATGAGAGGCGAAACGTCGTCTTTGAGAAAATTCATGGCCAGTTGCCTAACAGAACTCTTCAAAATTGTCAAAGATGTAGTTCAAATTTTCATTTTGTAGTTAATTTACAGCAGTGTTTCTCTTTTTTTTTCTGCTACCCCCCTCCCCCCAAATTAAAATACTTTTGTGTGCCTGGTAATATTTATTTATGAATATGATAAAAGACAGTATACTGAAAGTCCCCTCTCGTGCAATTTTTATTGCTAATGTTTTAATTTTTTATTCTTAATAAAATAGTCTTAGCTAATTGCTAAAGCATTGCTATTTTATTGCATATTTTCAAATGCTATTTAATTTTTCAAATGTTATTATTTTAAATGTTTTTTGTGTTTTTATTTTTTATTATATTATTTTATTCTAATTCAAAAAGAATCTAATTTGATAGTTTTTATTACCAATTTGTATTGCTAATTATTGTTCCATTGTTAATTGTAATTGCTATTGTAATTTTTCTATTTTTTTAATTGAATTGTTTATATCTTATCTTGATTGCTGGCTTATAACACTCAGGATTTAGGATGTATTCTTAAACTGCAATTATTATGCATTGAATCGTTCTTTTAATTGCTGATTATTAGGGATGTCACACTCTCACACTCTCCTTACTCTCTCTTCCTCATACACACACGTGCTATCACCACGCCTCCTCACTCCCTCTCCCATACCTGTAACTGTTAATTCCTTCATAATGTATCGGAGTGGTAGAATGAAACAGCTTTCATTTTATCAGAAAGCGGTTTATTGTCTCACCTACAGCGCAACCCAAACCGCTCGGAGCAGAACTTGACCAGCACAAGTCAGCCAGCTCCAACACAAAGAACAGAACACACTGCACATGTCCTCTACAAAATTGTGCGTTCAAGGCACCCAAGAACCGTCAGAAAAAGTAGAACATTATACCTAAACATAAACATTTATTCCCCCACCATCACAATAACAAATGAACACAAAACATTATTGATGCAAAACAAGCCTCGAGTCACTAGATGTCACCATTGTAGCTTATTTTTTAATCTATATTGATAATTAGGTTTTAGGATTGTATGCAGAATGCTGGTAACAGCAACTCTTACAGTGGTTTGTACAGATAAATTAAAAAAAAATATTACCAGACGCTCATTAGCATTTTAATTCTGTCCCCTAGGCAGAAAGAAATTGAAAAACACTGTTTTAACCCTTAGTGAGCAGGCAACACTAAACATCCACCACTGCCCCCCAATATATTGGTATCGGTTGATTTCGGAATCGGAAATTAAGTGTTTGGACAATATTGGCATATCAGCAAAAAGTTAATATCGGACATCCCTACTTATTATTGCTCTATTGCTTGAATAACCAATAAAGATTGGTTCTAGTAATAAAAAGTAAATTTATAAGCAAGTGTACAGCAGAAATCTCAATGACATTTACTATTAGTGGCGCTTTGGCCCAGAAGCAATGTCATTGGTGTGGAACTCCAGGGTTTACCTCCTGGGCAAGATCGGATCCCGGTTATGGTGGTTGGTACCTTCCAGTGGACACACCACCCGCAGGAAGGTTTGGGGGGTTCATACGGTGCAGTGTGATTTGGTTGGCAGTCGTGGAGACTGCTGCCCCTGCGACCCAGTAACGGATGAAAATGGATGGATGGATGGATGGATTTTCTATAAGTGCTTATCTCTGGTTTGTTACTACATAGCTACTGTATGGGTGTTGTATAATCACAGCCTAAAAATATGTATTTCTTTTTTTTTCTTCTCAGCTATGACTCAGCCCCCCTCTCAGCATCCCTTCTATCTGATTGGAACGAGGTTCATCACATCTTGCCCCCGGCGGTCGTGTGTGCGCGTCAGCAGGAGTTGCAGCTCGGCTCCCCCATGATGCTCTCTGATACCATTCCGCCTGACAGTTGAAGCCCCCTTCTGATGATTTCCAAAATGACAACAAATGGACTTGGGTAAAAATGAAAGACTTAAAGTGCTACTAGTCAACTAAAGTTAAAGACAAAAATATATTTAAATGTTTAATAAAGAAATATCTGTTCATCCACCTGAATATACTTGCAAATATTATTTTGTTAAAATTATTATCCAACTTAATTAAAGAATGTTTTTTAAGGTATGTAAACAAACAATGTTTAGTAAAAATAGAGGTGTCACAAACACCCAATTAGCATACCATAATTTCCGGACTATTGAGCGCACCTGAATATAATCTGCAACCACTAAATTTAAGAAGAAAAAAAATATGATTTAGATTATACATCTAAATTGTACATCTAAATCAGACATCTATAGGCCACACTTCTCTACAGATATTTACACAAAAAGATGTTACACAACAGTGATGGGAATAATGGTGTTAGATGAGATGGCAAATACAGGCACTACTTTAACTTCATCGAGGTAAAAGGTAAAAATATAAATTCAGTGAACATTATGTCCCAGAGCAAAGAGTTTGTCCACTTCTGGTGTAAACAACTCCAATTTAATGAAGCACATCTCCACGGCACACGCTTCTACTGCATTGACAACCAGTCACGTGCGGTCAGGGGAGGCAGTAAAAAAAGTACATCAAATAAATATTAATATTTTCCACTGAACTGTGTTAAAGTTGCATTTTCAGTATGACTCTAAACATTTTTGACATTTGATTATGTGACAATCGCTGAATTTGAGTATTTCGCGATCACATAGAGAGCAGAAATCCCGGGTGAAGCAGCAGAGAGCTGTGCCTCATATCTGACTGTGCGATCCAATACAAACTGGGTCGCATGACACATGGCCGTTTCTGTTCATCAGCATATCGCCAATATGAACTTTACAGAAATATTTGTCATACAGCATGACTCTCTACAAAAACACAAAGACAGGCAAAAGACAGGAGGCAGAGCTGGAGGTAGCAGAGTTAAAGATGCTAAGATTCTCTTTAGGGGTGACAAGAATGGACAGGATCAGGAATGAGGTCATTAGAGGGACAACACAGACAGGAAGGTTTGGAGAAAAAACTAGAGAAGCCAGATTGAGATGGTTTGGACATGTGCAGAGGAGGGACAGTGGATACATTGGTAGACGAATGTTAGAGATGGAGCTACCAGGTATGAGACAAAGAGGAGATATATGGATGCAGTGAGGGAGGACATGCAGATAGTTGGAGTCAGAGTAGAAGATGCAGAGAACAGGGTGAAATGGAAAACGTTGATTCACAGTGGCAACCCCTAAAAAAAGGGGAAAAAGCCCAAAGGAAAAGAAGAAAAAGCATGACTGTGCCCTCCCACATTGGATGGTTTCTGTGGCTCCTTTTGACTGTGCAGGTTGGATAACTGCTCGTCCCAATTTCTGAGTTCTCCTGGCATCTCCTTGCTTAGGAGTAATTATTACTACAATCTCTGTGATGTAAAAATTCTGGCATACACTTGGCAGTAGTTGTCAGCAGCTATTAATGCAGCATCTTCTGCCTGTTTCCATGGTAGATCTTTTGTTCTTAATCCATCCACACTGATACCTCCCTTTACTAGTGGTGTGCGATACAGCATATTTTGGTATTGATCGGATACCAAGTAAATAGTCCAGTATCGCCGATACCGATTCCGATCCCATACTATTCAATAAATAAGGTGGATGCATCATAGAATTGCTAAATCTCAATTAATTTTCATGACCTTAAGTGTTTTTTGTGGTTTCCTTTTTTATTATTAAATAGTTAAAACCCAGGACACACAAATCCAGCACACAGCAGCAGCAGACACACACAAACTTTCAGAGATGGCGAATACAGGCACTAGTTTAACCTCGTCGAGGTAAAAGGTAAAAATGTACATGTTCAGTGAACATTATGTCCCAGAGCAAAGGGTTTGTCCACGTCCGGTGTAAACAACTCCAATGTAATGATGCATATCTCGACGGCAGACGCTTTGTGTGTTTAGGGGAAGCAGTGAAAAAAGTACATAAAATAAATATTAATATTTTCAACTGATCTGTGTTAAAGATGCATTTTCAGTATGACTCTACACATTTTTGACATTTGATTAAGTAAAAGTAGCTGAATTTGAGTATTTCGCAATCAAATACAGAGCAGAATTCCAGGGTGAGGCAGCGAAGAGCTGTGCCTCATATCTCACTGTGCGATCCAATACAAACTGGGTCGCATGACACGTGCCCGTTTCTGTTCCTCACCATATCGCCAATATGAACTTTACAGAAATATTTGTTCTACAGCATGACTCTCTACAGTCTGTGTAATGTCTTTAATGTATGTGCGAGAGAATTGTTCCTACTTATCGTACAAGAAAGTGCAGAGAAATGTCAGCAGGGTAGGCAGGCAGTACTGTGCCTCACCACATGGGGACGTTTGAAGGTACAAATTAAATTTGTGCAGCACTCATCTTTATACTTTAATTTGTTGACTATAAATATGAATTGCTTAGACACAAGAAAGGTGCTCTATCCATTTGTATAAAAGAAACGTTCTTTGTTGGACAAATATGTTCCTGTGCATATATTTGTGTTGGTGTAAGAGTAGTTTATTCAATTTACACTAGAGAGTTTAAAGCACTTTGTGCAAAAGAGCATAAGAGCAACTCCACAGACCTATTTTTTTAGGATTTCAAATCTTAGGATCAGAACTCAATCTCCATTCATGGCTTTCGTTTTCACCATGTTATTTTGAATCAGAGTCACTGAATTAATAAATGTTTCAGGACATAGATGGGTACACTGAAAAAAGATGTAACTGTTAAGCTCACATTGTTAAACTGTTAACTTTATACTTGAAGTACAGTATGTCCACCAGTTGTCTGAAGTTGTAAAAGTTTGATTTATTTAATTTACACCACAGCGAGTTAAAAGCACTTCATATTGTTAAAATGTTTACTTTTGTTAAGAAGAAAACAGTTGAGGTGCAATAAATGAAAACCTCTGTTCAGGTACCTGTCTTTGTTTTTCTACTCTACATTTTTAAACTAAAAAAAAACTAACGCAATAGTTACTTTCCCTTGTAACTAGTTACTTCTATAGTGGAGTAACTAAATTGCTAACTCAGTTACTTTTTGGTAGAACTAGTAACAATAACTAATTACTTTTTAAAAGTAACATGCCCAACCCTGGCAACAACTTTTTTTTTTAACTTTTAATTAAAAAATTTTTTTTTTTTCCAAACAGTGCCTGTAACACGGCTGGCTACACCATCTTTCCTGCTTCAGCGCCCAGACCGTAGTTGGAATGAGAGAGCAGACTTAGTGATCTGCTCCAGGGGTAACTCTCTTCACTTTGTGCTTGTCTGCCGCAGAGCTAACAGGAATAGGGAAGTTGAGGTCTTTATTATCAGCCACATTGAGCACAACTGTACATAAACAGCATTTTAACAGCTTATAGTCCGGAAGTAACAGTAGTTGTTTATTCCTTGGTTTGATGATTCAGGTTTATTTACTAAACTCTAAGTTTAGTTAGGTGACGACGTCAGATGTGTGCCACAGTGAGGTTTCAGAACTATCAAATAAATTGGTAATTTTTATGTGAACTAATGCATTTATAAAGGTAAATGGAAAAAATGTGCTAAATCAAACCAAAAAAAAAATCAAAGAAAATTGGGCTATAGTTTCTTCACTGCATTAAAGTCGGGTGTGAAGTTTGTCATGTGAATTCTCAGCACTGATTGAAGTCTTTATTTTTCTGGCAACTGTGGCATTTGTTGAACGGCTGCTCTCATACATGGTAGAACCGCCCCACTCCACCTCCTCTGAAATTTTGTTTTGTTTAGTAAAGTGTTAATACATAAAGGAGTGGAACTTTTCCTTCGAGGCCATTTTATTTGCAGTAAGACCTACAGCGTTTTATTAAACTTTATAAGAACACAACCATTTTGCACTGCAGACTGGATGCGACATGAACATGACAAATTATATGCCCACAAGAAGATGACATAGAGCAGTGTTTCCCAAACTTTTTTTTCTGGGGACCTATATTTTAAAGGTCACAAATCTTTGCGACCCAAGTCAATAGACATTATTTGTAAACTCCTGGAGAGTCCTTGCAGTTTTACTACTGCCTTTGTTGCATGAATTAACAATCTTATCTTATGAATTGACAATCTCATAGTTTTTTGTTGTCTTACTTTTATTATCCTTGTGAATACTGGGCAATACGAGAGAAAGGAGTTGACGTGAACAGAAAGAGGACAGTGACGGCAGTATTTGAGCCAGACATTTATAGTTATTAAACTACACAGTTATTAAACTTTGTTAACTAATTATTTCATTATCATTGACAGGAAATAAAAGCAATAATAACAGTAACAATGGAATTGAGTCGCAATATAAGTGATAGTTCAATACGATAACATGTTCAACAATAACAACAATAACATGACTGCATGCGATCCCACAGAAAACATCATTTGTGTGATGTGCACAAGCACGTGTTTATCCGTAATTTCAGGACTATAAGCTGCTACTTTTTCATGCACCTTGAACCCTGTACCTTAACCAGTGATGTGCCTTATGGATTTATAAGGGCTAACGAAGGCCATACTGCTAGCGATTAATAACTTGGTAGGCTAAGGTGTGCTATACTAGTAGCGTATGTCTATCTTTGAATGGCTGTGTACATGTATGTGTGTGGGGCGCACGTGCGAGAGAGAACGGTATCGAATGTTGAGAGCAGAAAGTGAAGGGAGTTAGCCTCCCCTGTGCATTCCAATTTTGGTCAGGGCACCAAAGCAGGAAAGAGCTAACATGTAACCAGCCGTGTTACAGACACTGTTCAGAAAAAAGCATTTATTTAATTAAAAGTGAAAAAAAAATCTTTCTGTGTAAATATCCCATGTTATAACGTGGACCCCTGCGGCTTATAGAGAAGTGAGGCCTATATACAGTATGTACAATCATTTTTAATTTTATTTTTTTACATTTAGTGGGTGCGGCTTATATTCAGGTTCACTCAATAGTCCGGAAATTACGGTATGTTCAGTCACATCATAAAACATTATAAAGCGCCATTGGTATAAATCACCAAATTCTCAATTGTACAGTCCAACTCAAACACTGAACAATTCAACAACTCAAACAATAAAACAATTGTTGAGCAATTCCTTAATAAACAAACGGTGCTCTAATTTTATTTTCATAGCAAACATAAAGAATCATATCAATTGTCATATTTAGTGCAAATTCTCAAAGGCCTGCAAAGTTTGCATGCCCAGACTAGCTGTAATTCTGATGGGCTATCACTGTCCATCCAAAGCTCATAGTCTAGGATACAACAATCCAGCAGCTAGTCTATTATACAGGAATTAATATGATTTCATTAGTGACTGCAATTAAAATCACAAACTTGTATATTTTTCTGACTGTGCTCTGGTACTGCTCTACTTCATTGAAACTTTAACTATCAGCTTGGATGCTATGTAGCATCCCCAGCTGAATGATGGTCTTACTCTTTTGACTGATGGTTCAGAGTCGTTTATTTCTTAGAATGTATTAAATCATGAACACACCATGAAAACATCGTAAAAGCTTGTGCCTGTATCAGCCAGGTGCTAACTAAACATATTTCTCTCTACTGTCTGTGACGTACCTTTGACCCACTTTTTATCCCAGAAACCAAAACCTGGAAGCTTTTTATACTGGAAACCAAAACCTGCAAGCTTTTCTCTTTTTTCTTTTGGAGGGCCACTTACCCCTTTCAAAATAAAAGCCTTGACTTTAATGTATGCTATATTTAAAGAAACCTGGCCTTGACAAAACGCATAAATAAACATAAGAACAACAACAACAAAAAAATGTATCCTCATCTTTAGGGGTCAATTACATGCTAAGCTAAGCAAAAATAATCAATATTATGCAGGCACATTTTGCTTAACGGAGGAAGGTTTTAACCAAACAATGAACATTAGTTTGGGATACACAGGCAAAAGCGCATACAGTATAGTCTATCCTTGTTGTGGTAAGTCTAGTCTTACCGCAACATGCTTTAGCAGGTTTGACGTGGAAGTTTTCAAAAGCTGACAGCTCTGTCCACCAGGGCAGGCACATTTTGCATTGCGTGATAAATGTATGGCCTCGTTTGCATTTGAAAACAAAGAGCTAGCTGAGATATGGCTCTGCCTGGTAATCCTCAACCTCCAATTTTTGTTCGCCATCATCCAACAACAGGCTAGAGCCCTCTCTTATTCAACGTCATCGGGCTACACTGAAATAGTGGGAAATCCACGCAGGCACACTTACGCAATCTTCTTTTGGTTAACGCAGATTGTTTTCCCGAGAGAGATTAAATGTACTGTCATGCCCCAGCGACAAACCAGTCAGATGCTGCAGTAAAGAACTGGAGAACTCCTTTTCCTTCTGCCACTCTCTCTGCACACTCTATAACTATTAACCCCTTTATAACTATAACTATTAAATTGCCCCCCGCCTCCTTTCAAGCCCCTCACCATCAAGGGGTCATAGAAAAATCCAAACGATCCCAGTGAAGGGCTACTTTTCTGCCCTTAGGGCATCTGTACCCTGTACACTACATCCCCCACCTTCTCTAGCACTCTACAGAGCCATCCAAATGGCTATCCAGCTTAGGACAACGTCCTTTCTGGGCGTATAAACCAACTCCCCTGACACAAAGTCTCTACCCTTATTCTTCACATCATAATTCCTTTTTTTGTCTGCCAGATGTCTGCAAATGCATGGGCTGTCTCCATGTGGTCCTGTTCCTGTCATACACTGGTCCTGGGGTTTGACAGTTGTCCTAAAGCCAACTACACTTGAGTCCAGAGCCCTTGCAGCAGCCTTGGGAGGATCATTGGGAAATGACCTGAGCCAAACCGTGGCACAAGCCCAGCACAGCATTTCTGAGATTTTTGGTACCAAGTTGTGCCAAGTCACCTCTCCAGTGGCAGATTCTTTCCTTACTTGCTGCAGCACTCGATCCAGCACTCACAGCAGTGGAACTTGCTCTATAAGCCATTTGTTGCCACTTACAAACTCAATACCCCCTTCTAGGGAGGTCTCTCACCAGTCTGCACCCACTGCCGCACTGGTTTCAGTTCTTTGCCCAATCTGCATCTCCAACCACATCCAACAAGCAGCACATCTGTTCTGCAGCAGTTTCTTCTCAACACGCAGCTCCAATTCTTCTAGCATCCCTGCTGCACATGGACACCGGGACTAAGCATCATCATTGTCCCGTTGAGCGCATGACCTATACACAACACTAAATTGGAATGACTGCAGCTCCTCCAGCCACCTCTCAACCTGCCCCCTGGTTTTTTGAATGACATCAGTCACTTAAGTGTGCCTAGTCTATTTTAATGGTGAAAGGCACGCCGCACAGATCATATCTGAAGTATCAGGCAGCCAGAACAACAGCTAGTAGCTCACATCTTTTCACACAGTAGCGCTTCTCAATTTTACTGAAGGCATGACTGAAATAAGGCACCACACCCTTATATTCAAGGCCTACTTGTGCCATAGTTGCTCCCATTCCAACATCACTGGCATTTCTATATAGTATAATAACTGTAACATAACAACAACATCACTCTCTTCCTTTTTGTCACCTCCATCGTCATTTTGCACACTACCATCCGATGTTGTTTGGCTACACTCTCACCTGCCACCACTTTACAGTCTCTAATCTCCCTCAGATTACATCTTCTACATAGAATATAATCTATCTGTGTGGACCTGCCTCCACTCTTGTAAGTCACCCTGTGTTCCTCTTTTTTTTTGGAAATATGTGTTTACCACAGCCATTTCCATTCCCTTTGCAAAATCTACCACTGCCTGTCCTTCTACATTTCTCTCCCTAACACCAAACTTACCTATCACCTCCTCATCTCCTCTGTTCCCTTCCCCTACATGACCATTTAGGTCTGCTCCAACCACCACTCTCTCTCTCCTGGGGTGCACCGATACAGGAAAACCCCAATTACACCTGCCTCCAGCATGTTGTTAACTTCCTTCTCAGCAGCCTCTTGCTTTATCAAAGCAGACAACGGGGCCACACTCTGATAGGCTGTTCACCCCCAGTATCAATGCTCAGCCAGATGTGTGAGGCCCGCCTCATTCTTATTGAGGAATTCCTTATATTCCCACTAAACATGCCACAATTTCAGAACTTATCCTCTGAGTTAAGGCAAGCCATTAAGTTGACGCCTCCAACGTGGGAGGATGTAACATAAACTTTTGATATGCTAATTGGTGCAGCTAAGCAGGTTGAGAACAGCATTGAGCACAGAATAAGATCTGTCACCCACACAGCTATATAAGCGTAAAAAACAAATGATACTTTGGAAGTTATTCTTGAGAATTTATTCTTAGGAAGTTTTAGTTCTTGAATTTGCGTATTAACAACTGTACGAGATTTCCTTGAATACTTCTCCAGTCGTTTATTTGGCAAAACGTCAAACATTTTGTTTGACGTTTTGCTATTAAAACGAATCGACCATCTAACGGCTGCTTCGATTCCTTGCCTGAAGATACCTCGCACAGCAAAAAACTTTCAACTGGTGCTCAGATACGGATCAAAATATAGCAAGAATCTTTCAGTACCTTCCAGTGGACTCACCATCCGCAGGAAGGTTCAGAGGGGTCGGTACGTTGCAGTGTGATTTGGCTGGCGGTCATGGAGACTGCTGCCCCTGCAACCCGGTAACGGATAAGCGGATGAAAATCGATGGATGGATGGATCTATACTTGGATGAGAAGCAAGATGTATAGTATTTGGTGATCAAAGTTACATTCTGTGAATGCAAAGGGACTAAAAAGGCCTTTGTTCCATTATGTAGCAGTTTGCGCGCCTGCCTTAAAAGCAAAAACCAGAGTCCTGAGTTTGATTCCAAATGAACCTCATGTGGCAGCCTGTGTTGTTTGCAAAGACTGATACTGTGAACTTGCCCAATGTGGGACAAATGAGTCACTCAAATTATTATTGTTAACACAAATGTGATTAGGTAATGTCGTGGTAAGGTTTTACCACCCCAGATTCGTTGATCAACTTCAACACCATCAAGAAGAACTTTCACAAAGTATAAAGAAAAGACAAAAGTCATTGCTCGAGTTCACCTGTGCGCAGGGAGGATCCAGTGGCGAGTCAGAGGATCGACTGCTGAATTCTGCTCTCTCCACAAACTCAGGCTCGTTTTATTGACACACATATCCAGGGGTGGTACATATCAAGCGATACAGACTTCATTTGTTCTACACACACACATACATTCTTTTTGGTAACTACATCTACACCATTCCTATTGCACCCAGCTGTTGTTGTGACCTTGTGTTCTAACTATGAACCCAGCCATTGTCAAATTGTGTTCTAAAAGTTTCTGTTTCCCATCACACCAAGTACTCCTCTTTTCACAACAAACCTTGGGTTTAACTCAACCTTGCAGCTCCTTTTCTCTACATCTGCATATTTTCAGTTTTATGCATGTTTTCAGCATTTTATGTTCAAGCTGGTTATATGTTTTTCCACAATTCTCCCTTTTGAACTCTTTTCAGAGTTCAACCACAAAGATAAGTATTCAATCATTCATTTGCCTCAACTCGTCCTCTGCGATCTCCTCAGGTTCAATGGCCATCAGCGGATACATGTGGTTTATATCCTCCGGACTTGGGGCTACAGCCGTTTTAATCAATCTGGTCATTAATGATCGAAGACAGGGGATACAGCAACATCCACAAAGGGTGAGAATGGAGTTCACCGGTTGTGTTCGTGTTAGTTTTGTTGCATGGATTTGGAAAGGCGATTA